ATATGTCAAGCATGAAATACATTTCCCTATAACCCTAGGTATGTTGTGAAGTACAAACATGGTATTTGGAGCTGTTCAAATCCTGGGAGAACTGTTTTTAGTGAAATCTTTTAAAAAATTCCCATCTTCACAAAAAATACTGACAACATAAATTGATAAATCAGGATTCTTATCAAGACTCAATGCTTAACACAAATTCCAAATATCCCTCCACAACAGCAATTCACCTGCATCTAAATGACCTGATTTAAATGGGATGAAAATGATCTTTAAGGGGTTAGTACAGATGAACAGAAGGATGGAGATGTACAAAGCAGAAAGTGAGGAGGGCGGATTCAAGTGGTTTCTCCTCTAAGAACCCAGAGATTGTTCATTCATGTAGGTAAATTTCTTTCAAGATTTTTAATATACAGAGATTTTTGCACTTCCTTCTATAGCTTTCCTTACATTAAATAAGATTAAATATCAGTCATTGATAACTCTGGAGATTATTTTAGCTTCATTTTACACATTACTATGTCTAAATATGATGCAACAGACTCTACAGGCAAGTTTCTCCCTGCTTTATTTTATTTCTTCAGGTGCCTTGGGAACACTCACAAGCAAAACACATCCTCAGGGTTAAGCAGTGCTCAGTGTGGAGTCTGCAGATAGCCATGTTCAACAGAGGTGCACGAAGTGACAGGCAGATATCCAAGTGACCACACCAAGGTACACTGACTGTGCTGGGGAGTCATAGTGATTTTTGTTTGGATTTTTCTCATTTCTGAACTATCTTCTGCAGGAACTGCAATTGCATGCTTTGGCTTTCCAGACACCAGTTGGAAAGTTTTCATGGTTGAAAGGATTTTTGAGAAACAGAAAGCTTCATTTCACACATAAAACTTGCCTTTTACCTTAAAAGCTTACCTTGTTCCATCCCACAGATCTGAGGACAAGGGCCAGCAGAACTCACCAAGAGCCTTGTTAGTTCATATTAGCAATGCAGACACAAATGTGGTGCAAAGGAAGGAAGCATTGCTCTTTTATTTCCTAGTATAGTGCTGTCATTAAAAAACCTCCTGGAACAGAAAGCTTAAATATTGGCCCTAGACTCGTGTTACAGGGGCCAGTGTCACTGGTATCGTGAAATATCTGCATTGAAACCAAGTCAGACTATAAATTTTTCTGCATTCGCTGTTTCCCTTCCTTTAGCACATTACAGAATATGTTAATTCAGTAAGATAAAAAAAAGCAATAAAAATATTACACAGATAGCATTTACCTAAGGTTTTGTTGTTTCAGAAGGAATTAAAGTGATTCAGCTTTTTTAAAAATCAGCTACAAAAAGACAATGACTATATAAATAATTTCAGGGGGAAAAAAACTACAGAAAAAAAAGAAGTCTTAGGTCATTGACTTCTTGACTCACTTTTGAATCTTGGGAGAAATGGTTTGATGATTTTAGAATGTATTTATCTATCTACACATATTACTATTTTAGTAAGCTAAAGTCAAATCGATAAAATCTTATGGTTTAAAGCTAAAGTGACACTGGCAAAAATTGTTAAGACAGTAAAACAGAAAAGCCCTAAACATTCATCTCAGGGTAAGCCCAGATATTTTCTCCAGCCATATCACTTTTTTTCCTAAAGCATTTTTTAATAGATTTCCTATGCTTACAATGGATCTGCTTTTGAAAAACACGAGCCTCTGCAAATACATGTTCTGTTCCAAAAGAAAGAAAAACAGAGACTAAAAGTCATCACCCAAGAAATGTAAAATGTAGATGCAAAAGTGTGAGATAAACAATACTATTTAACCTATTTACCCACATCTTTCTAGTTTTTCTCATTATACAAATCACAAATAAGCAAAGACACTATGACAAATCCAGCAAATGGGAACAATTCACAGCAAATGCTCCATGCTCAGGAACACTCTAATCAGTTGACAGAGGTCAGGCATAGGATATTTACTTTTTATTCCTACCAGATAAAACTGACCTTCTGCCTAAAACTGTGTCTGTGCTCAGGAAGCTGGAGTGAAAGATCCCTCCCTTATAACGGTGGATTGAAATTTACTGTGGCCACTTGTGAATTTAAACATTTGAAATCATCCATTAAGGCACAGCTGAGCATAAGAAAATGTCCACTGCCTTCATTAGGTTCTATTAAATCTTACCTATTTACAAATGCATCTCTGTGGCTTCTGCAGCAGTGACATGCACTGGAAGGAACAGCAACATTCCCATGAACTAGGCTCACACTCTTTCTGGAATAAAAAAAATGGACAAGCAGCCACATAACACAGAGATATCATTCTGCCTAAGGTTCTAGCGACACAAACCACAAGGACAAAGCTCTGGGAGCATCATTACAGTTAGGAGTAACTCCATACTTCTGTGATAAACTCTGAGGCACAGTTCAGCAATGCTAAACTGCAAAGGGGCTCCAGCTTCTTCTACAGGGCAGGGCAGATGTAACTTCTTACACACAACAGGAGAGCCTCATATAAATCAGATCATTTGGAGTTGAGTGTTAAAAAAGAACATACAGCTATTTCAAAGACATGGGCTCTGGGGGGAGGGAGAAGCTGCATAGGTACATATGTAAGTCCTGCAAATAAGGTGCTTTTGAAAAAAATGAAATGACAGTTGTTCTGTTCAATTATGTCCATACATACTCCTCAGCAGATGGTCAATGGCATCTGTACGGGTTTAAACTTGCTTCAAAGTTCTAACAGGTTCACTTGATGGATCTGCATTCTTCCCTCTCCTTTGGCACACTAATTTCATCACTCCCAGCAATGGTTTTACTCAGCACTTATAGACGTGCCACAGCTTGACAGCTATACAATTTACTCTCACTAACAGCAAAACAAAATGCACTTATGTCCCATTATACTTACCAGAGTCTGCCTTGGCCTAAGATTATAGGAGCATTACAATTTCTATTTTGCTGCAAAAGAGCAAACTCAAAATTGACTATTTTTCCTTCTTTCAAAAGGATCTTTTTTTCTGGTGCTTGATTTAAGGTCCACTTTTCTTTTGCAAGGCAGCTGATGCAGACTAGCATTAGTGACTGTTTGGTACAGTGCCTTTCATCACAATCATCTCACCACTGGTTTTCTGCAGTAAGTGTAACAAATAGCCCAAGTCCCAAGAGGGACCTTTACAACTAAACAGCAAAAAAACCCAAGAACAAAACCAGACCAAGTTCTTTGGAGAATGTGATGATATGGCTCACAGGTGTCAGTGGAACAGCATGCATTTTCATCAGCAGAAAATGTCATCCTGTGTTTTAACCAGAGAACTACAGGATTGTATATTCAATGGACTAAATAATTCCAAAAGTACTTCTGGTTCATCCTGTACCGAAAAGGACATTCTTTAAGGAGACATCTTCCCAAATCTACTACACACCTGGATCCCTGGGGCAAACATGCACCTCCATTTGGCTTATAAGAGAAGGTAATGAACAATCTCACTCTTAACTCACTAAGGTCACTGTATTCTGAAATAAATCAAAATAGAACCATGAGAGATAGTCTATCAGTCTCATAAACTGTTTCAATGATAGATATATGAGAAGTGCACGTATACTGGGAAAACTTTTACTTCCTCATTTCATCTTAGCACTCTCTCAACACAATTTTTTTCTTTCAGATATGATCCAAACTAAACTTAACAGGGAGGTTCCCATTGACCTCAGCAAGCTTTGAATCAGACCTGGAAATTAGATTCTGATCCTTTTCACAGGATTTATGGTCTTTACAGCCTATTCCTGCAAAAGTAGGACATTATGAACTCAGTGTTTTATGCATCTTAAAATAACTGTCGACAGATAGTGCAAACTATGCTGTTCATTTAAGCATATCCCTGAACCCTGGTTATTTGTCTATCTAATTCCACTGTAACTGACCCCTTGTCCCCGATTATGCTGCCTTCTCCACAGTAGTTCTAGGCCACCTGTCTTGTTGTCAGGGTAGGAAGCTCAGGAGAGAGGAAGAGTAACTGTTTGGCCATCTAATGTCATATTAATAATTTAAAACACAGTTTTAGCAATTTTTTTTCTTATATTATATGAAAGGAAGCAAAAAAAATGAATGGATAGCAGTAGTCATCCTTGACTATTGTAATATGGAACACTAGTTAATATTTAAAGAATATACACATTCATATGCAGAGAATTTTTCCCTAACTCTCCACAGTTCAGCCACAACCTCGGTTTATATCACCTTCCATACTTGCTTCAAACTGAAGTGACTAGTCAAACTACATGACAGACCAGCCCCTCAGCTTTATCATTCAGATATTGATTTAAGCAAATACTCCAAAAAGCCATAATTTTTGCAGAGTTCTTGCTTTATTATCAGTTTTCAAAGAACAGAAGTCTAATGGAAAGAGATAAATCGTTAGCCTGGAACTTCAAACTATCACAATAACAATAATGTAATCCCAGGCTAGGTCCACTCTGAGCAGGAGCAGCTGCTTCAGTACTCTACCCCTACAACCTAAGACTGTCCCGACTTGGAACAGACCCACTAGAATCATCAAAGTCCAACTCCTGGCCCTGCACAAGTGACAAGAATCACACCTTGTGCCTGAGAGCATGATCCCAAAGTTTCTTGAACTCTGCCAGACTTGGTGCTGTGATCACTTCCCTGGGGAGCCTGTTCCAACACCCAACCACCCTCTGGGTGAAGAATCTTTTTCTAATATTTAACTTAAACTTCCCATGACACAATTTCAGACCATTCCCTTGGGTCCTGTCACTGGTCACCAGAGGGAAGAAATCAGTGCCTGCCCCTCCTCTTCCCCTCATAAGGTCTTCCCTCAAACTCCTCTTTCCAGGCTGAACAGACCAAGTGCCCTCAGCCCCTCCTCACATGACTTCCCCTCAAGGCCCCTCACCATCTTCATTGCCCTCCTCTGGACACTCTCTAACACTTTAATATCTTTCTTATATCGTGGTGACCAAAACTGCCACAATATTCAAGGTGAGGCCTCACCACTGCAGAGCAGAGTGGGACAATCCCCTCCCTCGGCTGTCTGGTGATGCTTTGCCTGATGCCCCCCAGGACAGGGTATAGCACAAGGTACAGCCCTGTACCCTCACATGATGATGGCAGCCCTTTGGGGAAGACAAACAAAACCAAAACAACTCCCCTGTGAATCACCTAGCTCAGCCTTTTTCTGCTTTGGAGTTTCCTTTGGCAATAAGCAAATTCCTCCTCCACCTGCACATCTCAGCTATAGCATTCAATGCCAGGAGAGAGGGCGTGTGATGGAAAAAAACATCATGTCCTTTTTACAGCCAGTTACACAGGAGAACGACTGGAATGGAGCACAGCCTTGCAGGGGACACCCAGTCAGTGCCAGATGTCTGACTTCATCCTGTAAAAAGAAGAGGTAATGTTAAACCACCTGCCAGTAACTCACAGGCAACTCTACAGTGGAATATCCTTACTGAAAAGGATTACAGCCCACCATCACACCTCTAAAGACCCTCGCAAAGAGGTGTTCTGATTTAGCAGCATTTTAAACACACTGTTTGGAGGCCTAAGTGAGTCCACAAACAGTGAGGCAGGGAGAAGTCAAGGGTAGCAAATTCATTCTACATTTAAGGGGAGACTGGTGCTTTAGCAGGAAGCCTTTATGGCACCCATACTCAATGCTCAGACAGTTTTGCAGCACTCTCATTCAACCAAATTTTTTATCGTTAATACGATGTCATACTTGGGGGAAAATGTAGACAGAACTGAAAATCTTCAGAAGTCAGCTATTAAACGAGAAAAGAGTAGTTAAGTATTTCTTGTTTGAGAAGATGTTTGACTATTTAATCAACAAATTTATGGGATAAATTTCTGTTTGGAAAATAAAACACTTTCCCTGACCCCAGCTGGCACAACTGGAGAATTCAGGTTTTATTTATAGCTACTTTAAACTACTGACCTGTCAGGGTGACTTTGCTGTCCTTTGATACTCTGCTTTGCCATAACTGCAGAGGTTTTCATTGTTTTGAGCTTCAGTGTTTCCAGAGGTTTGCAGTTAGTTTCTGTATTGAAGGTTCCCTTTTGGTGCCTCTAGGTTTTCCACAATGTTTTCTAACAAATAGATCTGATTTTAATTAAGGAAGGTAAAGAAATAGATCAGATGCTCTATAGTTATACACACCCCTGGTCAAACCTTCTGTCAGAGGAAACCCAGTGGCAACAAAACATCTCCACAGCAGAACACAACCAGGTTTATACAGAGAGGCTGAAACACTCTTGGTTCACAGAGATTTGTGATGCATTTTGATTCTCCTCTACCTCCTTCAGGTAAAAGTACTCATTTACATTGAATCAACTCCAGTGATTCAATGGATGAATCTTTCAAACATGATTTTTTATGCCTACTCTTTTGAAAGGCACAAGTTAAGAAAGTCAAAATTGACCTAGAAACTGAACAATACATGCACCTATTTAGCATCTGAATAACTTGTAGTTAATTTTCAGTATATGTGACTAATACAAGCATTGTGATAAACTGATGTGTCGTTGGAATTTACACAAAAAATAATTACCTGGAGCTTTCGTAGAAGTAGAACAAGAGCAGAATTATCACATTGAAAATAAATTTAGCAAAGTTTTCTAGGCAACCTTGACAGCTGTCTACTGGTGGGAATTTACTGCTGTGCATGTATGGAATTAATCCATAATTTAACATCCATGCTAGCTTACATTTCTTTAAAAGTCTTTTTTCCTACTTGATTGACTGATATGACCCTTCCCTCACATCAGCCAGGGATACAATTATTTATGTGATAACAACCTCAATTCGCAAATTACTTAAATCTAATGGGGCTTTATTTCATTACCATACTGGCTGTAATTCCAAGTCAACATTCATTACTCACATCGTCCCATTTTAATGCAAACAACTATGCATTGTTGAGAAGTTATTTATAATATCCTAAATATTTGACCGTGGAAGAAACGTGCACTTTTGCCTAGGAAAAAGTAAGAAAAACCCCAACACCATTCTATATTATGTAAACAAATAGAAATCTCAGTTCAGGACTTCCTTGTCCTACAGTCATATAGGACATACAATTAAAGAACCATCTCTCCAGACAACGTTCTATACAGCCAGGATGTATCATTTCATTTACGTATCTGCTTCCTCACCATATCAAGTGCCTATCTAGCCATAAACTGCTGTTTTCTTCCCACTTTCAAGCCCTAAAGAATCAATTACTGCAGTGTGTCGTTAATTCATTTCCAACCTGGGCCATACAAACATTTCAGTCAGAACTCATTTTTTTCCACACTGCCAAGCAGTGACCAGGCAAAGGGGGCACAGTACATCCTTCCATGGATCTGCCTCAAATTCAGCACTTCTCCAAGTCCAAGTGACACATAACATCCTGTGTAATGAGCAGAGTGACATGTTAATTATTCTTGTATCGGTAAGGACAGCAAAAAATCCACCAACAATAAACCAAAACTAAACAGCTCTATGAAATTCACTACTATTTGCAACTCCACTGCATTTACAGGCTGGATATCCAGCCAGTCTGCATAGCTGGCTCCAGGGATAACTTGCATATTTCTCTTAGGGATTAAAGTTCGTATGTTAACCCAGAATCTGGGTGTGACCAGCTGCTTTCCAAATTAGATTTTTGTTCTGTCAGCCTGCTTCCAGTGCTAGAACAGATGAACATTATAGTTCATTGCTTCCATTTTTTTTCCTTGTATGGACAGTTCCTGTTTCCTACATTTAATTGTGGATTAATGCCCTTCAGCTCAGATCCTGGTTTCTCTCTCCAAGAACAGAAGCTTGAACCTTATCTGGTTAGTCTGTCCCACCCAAAGCAGTTAACTGATAGCAAGAAGGCAGCAAATATAAACGTACAATGTGCCTAATAATCTGTTTCTAGCAAAAACAGGTCCCTTTCCAAAAATTCATTTAGGTAAGTAAAGCCAGTGAAGCACTCATGATTTCTTCAGAAGTTTTTCTTACATGGGTCACTGCCCATGAACTATTAGAAAGTAACCCGTCCATTTACTTTGAATGAGCCTTGGCAAATAGTCAGGAACACTCAAAAAACTCATGAAATGCCAGGGGCTCCTTTCCATTTCCTGTATTTGGTACATTTCACACCTTCCAGAGGATGCTTATTTAGGCATAGGAAACCACCTCAAACTGCTTTATCGGGAGCCAACCATTACGAGACTGAAACTTCAGTCCCAGAATTCTGCAACCAACAAATTGGAATTCTGAACTAAATAATTCACTTGGTAACAGTGTTAACTTTAGCAAATGAACAAACCCACCAGAATCCAGGGAGGAATTGTTTGCAACTCACCATGGCAACAGTGCACCAAGGCCAGCTATCAAAACTCACCCCTCCCCACTAAACGACTTCTCTTGCAGGAATAGACAGAACATCAACAACCCTCTCCCCAGCCTCCTTTTAAATACAAATACAGATTTCAGTACCACACTTCGCAAATAATATGTAGGTTGTTTGTGGTGTTTTGTCATTGTATGTTTCTTTTTTAAAAAAGAAATAAATTTGTCTTTCTGTACTTAAAGGAAACGCTGAAGAGCAATTTGTGCAGCCCCTCTCCAGCTCAGGAACAGGCCGAGCCCGCTCCCATTAATGTCAATAGAAGCCTCACAATTGACTTCAAGGGGGAAGAGAATCAAGCCTTGTAGAGTGCAGGAGTACACTGTTAAGTACAATAATATTTGTTTCACCTTCACCCATCTTAACCTCTTAAAAGGCTTAAATTTACAGGCAACAGTGTCTGCTCCTCTCAAAGGGGTTTTGCAAATGCGTAGCATTAATCTGTCACTTGATTTTCCACTTGAGCTGGTGCACACAATGAGGCAAAGAGCAGCAGAAAGGTATGTTGGTAATGACTCCCACTGATAAATCCATACATATTTTACATTGGAGTGTGACCCTTACACAGATTAGGCTCTTATTTTCCCACAAAAGGTGATTTGCATCTAGTTGGTTTCCTTCCAGATGGTGACCAGAAAGTGCACCAGGGAGGCTTGCACCAGACACCCTCAACATTCTAATAGCCTCAATATGGCTTTTGGATTTATGGCTAAATCATCCCATTAGTACACAGCTCTATTACAATACAACTGTAAATGTAATCATGTGAGATAAAGGCTATCCTTCAGCAAGGACAGCTGCATAGCACTAACAGCTTAGTCTTACCTGATTTAGCATATGCTTTTTAACTCATATATTTTGAAATAGGAAACAAGAAAAATGTCTGTGTCACACCACAGTGAACACTACACATCTGCAAAGCATTTTTTCTGATGAGTCTTCTTGCTCTGAGTCCTCACTTATCTTCCGCCTTTATCTTATTCTTTCGATGTACTCGTTTATTACAAAAAATATTTCTATGGTATCCCATTTCTTTCTAATGTAACATCATCAAAGATAAAAGTAATACACAAGTTCAAGAACTGCATCCTTTTCTGCATCTATACAGAGAATCTATACTTGCTGCAAGCTGTATGTCCAAAATGTATTGCAGTGATTTTGTTCACATATGTTTAAAGTAACGCATCTATTCATTCTCAGGTGTGGCTTTTCGGTAGATAAGTCAAATAAAACAACTTCTCTGCTTTGCCAGGGAAATGGCTGAGAGATATTTGACTCTGTCCTGCCCCTAATCCATCTCTTCTGACAAGACTGAAGAAAGCAACTTCTGTCTCCGTGTGCTCTCTCTCAGGTGGGCTCCACTCTCCCAGGCAGTGGGGCTGCAGTGCTGCTTTGCCCTTCCCTCTGCTGTCTGTGCTCTGGCATGAGACCCATGGATTTGGTCCTAAACATCTGCCAATGCAGGTGTTAGTTGATGCAACTGCTTCTCATATAAATGGGTTCTTTCCTTCTGGCTGCTCATCAATTCCTCAGGTCCTGAGTATTCCTAGTTCCTTTCTTTCCTGCTGCCACTTACCAACGGATCTGGCTCACCTAATAGATGAGTGATGCAATAGTTTTCTCTTAGCAAATGTATTATTGCTCTGAAGCCTCCTGTGTACATATATTTTACGTGAAGATGGCCCCTCTGGGCCACTTCCCTGCTAGCCAGTGACGGGCAGTTATCTTCACACTAGATCATTCTGCAATCACTCACATTTATAGCTCCCTCCTTACATCAGACAGTTCTTTACAGAGGAGCTTGTTAATTCTCAGATTCCAGGCACCCCTTTCAACAGAAATTACTCTGTGACTTAATTACAGAGAAATTAATTATACCTGATCTGCAACATAGGTTTGTACTGCTCGTTTTGTCCTGTCTCCTCAGGCTGGAAACACATCCCTGTTCATTGCTTTTAGCAAAAAAGTCACTAAAGACCCCTATTTACTAAGCAGCAGGCTCATATTTGCTGATGATCACCAGAGCCTCATTCTCTCATTTAACTTTTGGAACCAAGACATTTTTAGTGCTGCAGCACAGGTTCTCCTCAGGTTCCAGGTCCCACACAGTGGCTGCAGGAAACCAGAGCAGAGTTGGGATTTCATGTCACACACAAATAAATCCACCCCTGTAGCCTGTTCAGAGCTGCAAGGAGAGGTGGTCTCTCCTATTTACTATCTAAGCACACTCCCTGAATGAATACAGCTGCACCTTAGAAGTTTAACAGATCATACCATTTATGACTGTTATAAAGAGAATTAATGCAAAGTATAAAAATAAAAATAGAATTGCTGAAAGGAGAGCACAAAAAATCATTGCATTCCCCCACGTCTGAGTAAAGTACACTATTCCTGAATGTAGCAACACTGGCAGAGTTGGTATTGACCTATCATAGTGTTCTACAACCTCCTATCCAACACCCTAATATCACCTTGCACCTCAAAAATTAACTCTGTACAGACAGAAACCATTAAACTAATATGACTTTAAGCCATTCATCAATAGTCACACAAAACTCTGTTTTACCTGATGAGCCATTCTTATCAATTATGTAATGTTCATTGTCTTTAATGTTCAAACATCTCAATAGCAGCATATTCCAAAAGTAATTAATATTCAATTAGCTCAAAGCCTTCACATTTGCATATTAATATTTGCTTTATAAGTCCCACAGAAAGGTATTTGAAAGGCTAGGAGTGCTGTGATCTTGTTAAAAAGTACAAATTTTAGGATTATTAGATTTTGAACACCTTTCAGGCAATGCTTCTCGAGTCACAGATCCTCATGCATTTTTTTCCCTGAACTCTAGATCTTCCACTGAGAAATCAGACTTTAAACAGTTTGACTCTATTACTGGTGCAGTCACATAAACCAGATTGAGGATGTACAACCTACAGTATTGCATAGCAAAGAAATAGTCTAAAATGAAGGATTTTTCAAAGTGAAATTCCAAATACGTTCAGGGCTAAAGCACAATATTGATTTTGCTGCTTCCATGAATGTATCAGAGATACTTCCTAGCAGAACAGAGGTGTAAATGATGGGAGGGACTACCTTGATCACCCTGAAGTCCTAAACATATTTAGTAGAGTTAGATTAAAATGTAAAATCAACACCCATTCTGCCCATACATACATGCAGCAGTTGAAAAACTCTCACAGCCTGTAATGTATATCTTTAGTATAAAAGATAAAAAACCCCTTCAGACATCACACAGAAATAATGAGAAAGTATATTTAGCAGCACTGAAGGTCTTGCACTTCCAGGGAGCCACAGTGAAGCAGATGAACTAAGCCCAGGAAGTGAACTTTGCTCCATAAACCAGAAGAGCATAGAAAAATAAAGATCCCAACAGCCTGTGTCAGTGTAAACAAGGATGAGAGGGTGGGGGAGAAGAGAATTCCTTACTCCCCTCAAATCTGGCAACTGCATGCCAGATGGCAGTCCCAAGCATGGGTGGAAAACATAAACAGGATCATTAAGATTTCCTATAGGAATGGCAGTATAGCATGTTCAGACTCTCATCTTTAATTCCTAGCAAAGAAAAATTAAAAAAAACCCAACAAATGTAATGATGAAAAAATCTGAATGTATGAGGGGGAAAGAATTCTTCTTCGATCCTTCAGGTACTTAGTGGCAATCCTCAACTAATATAACTGATTAAAACCAAAAAGACACTCAGTTTAACAACTCTTTCTAATCCATTTAAAATATTCAAGAACATCCTAGCCCTGAATATAACTCTTTCCTTGAATTTGTCAGGATCCATTTTCAAATGCCGTGTTCTTTAGCCTTTTACTCTACTTTGAAGTTATAAAATTAACTTCAGTTCTCTTGTTTACAAACTCGGTAGTGGTGCTGAACTAGCCATAAAAGCATTGCATGGAGCACAGAATCACAGCTCTTTCATCCTTACTAATGGATTAATTTAAGAACATTCAGTAGCATAGGATAGTGGAAATTTATAAACTGTATTATCATTGTTTTCTAAAGTAACAAGAGGCATTTAATTACTATCAAAATTTCACACGTGGCTTCCAAACACAAGGTGTCAGGACTATAAATGTTATCTGGAAAAGTGCTTTAAAAAGGGACCTCAGAAAGCGCAAGATGTTACGTAGAAAATATGTGTAAGAGTTAAAAAAAATTCCCCCCTGCCCCTCAAGAACCTCACTGGTTGCTATTTTCAGACATCAGTCCAATCCAAATAACCCCAAACTTTCCTCTTATGTCTTCCCCACCAAGCCAACCAGATACATCTCTCAGCCTCATTTCTCCCCCTAAAGAGGTCAGTTTTATCTCAGCTTTTTCATCCTCATTGTTTTATGCTAGCTTTATCCTCAGCTGTAATGCTGCTTCCCATTTCCTGTTCCCTAAATAAACAGAAAATTAGGTTTTCAGTGCAGATACCAAGTCCTATCTTCTTTCTTCCCTGCCAAAAATAACTTGTTTCAGTGAGCTTGCTGGAATCATCACAGTGCTCAGATTTAGAAAGGCTGTTTTTATAGCCTGTTTAAACAATATATTGCAGCTGGTCTGAACCAAACCAGAAATACTCACACAATCTTTGTTAAGCTACTGTCTCCACAGTTAGGAACCTAAACTCTATGCAATCCACATGGCATTTCCTTTAAAGCCCCTTCAGTGATCACTTCAAATGCTTAACAAATACCATCCTACTCAACTACAGTTAGAAGACAAGATTTGCCACGAAGGCAAAATGTAATCTGCAAAGTCTTTATTCTTCTTGAAACAAATTTGAAAGAACTAAGTTTATTTTTGGTCCCACCACTTCATTTCTGGTTCATTAGAAGGTGTATTTCCTCACCTGCAAAGGAACAAAGCAGAACAACTTAATTCAATGCCATTGAGCAGCACATTTCAGAGCTGAACAGAGTAACATGGAAAACACATGGAAACTATCCCCAGAAACACTATATGACTAAAAAACTCCACTTTGTACACAGTATAAATATCAAGTGCCTTATATCAGGACCCTGCGAGTGAATCTTAACTCACTATGTCAGTATTAAGACATAATTTCAGGTTATTATATGCAAATAGCATTGCAAAAGGCATTGGAGATTTCCTCCAGCAACCTCTGAGCAATCTCTGTACCATACATACCTTTCACCACTACATTTTACTCATTCAAGAGAAATCATAAATGTGCTCCAGCCCTCTTATACCAATTAATTTCTTAGCACGGGATTAGCACGTTACAGGGATTGTTACAAACCTACATTGTATCAGGCACCTACTGCTCCTGAGCAACGTCTTTCAAAAATGTAAAGTCAATTTGCAAATGAGAGGCACTTGCTTACCCTGGGCTATTATATTGGGACTTATTTTGGATACTGCACAGTTTGGGGAGTTTTTAGCTTTCAGAAAGCGACAATTAAAGGCTTTAGGCTCACAGCAGGTGTTAGTGCTTGTTTTTACAATACAGTCAAAGCTTCTGTTCCTCAGTAGATTGTTCTTCCAACCTTACTTCAAATATTCTCCACAAAACCTGCTGCCTGCTAACTTTTGTTGTTGGCAGTGCCAGTATCAAGGTCACCCATCAATATACATCAGTTGTACACAGCTTTCTTTCTTCCCCCTCTGAGACTGGAATTACAAAAACTCTTCCTGCCTATGTAGCTCAGCTCTGTGTCTTGCAGAGGGCATTTTCAGAGCCTACACCTTGTTTTAGTTTCAATAACTTTCAATAACATCTGACCACTTAAGCTTCCTATTGATAACGGTGGAAACTAACACAGCCACCCCTATTTAGTGCAGGATACAAACATCCTTTTCTCTTCTTACTACAACTTTTGCTGCAAACACTCCAGCTCAGTTCTACTTTTCAGCTTTTATTCTTGCACAGGGATTTGAGAAAGAAACAAAGAAACAACTGCCCCTGGAACACTGCAGTCCACATTCTTTTTTAGCCTACTTATCCTTAACTGTCAGGTGTTTTATCTCAATTTTGTTACCTATGAGAAAATTCATTGCAAGTATCTTTCACTGACAGGTATATTTATAGTCTTGGACTTCTGCAGCAGCCCAGCCACAAACAATTAGACCACTGCATTCAAATGTACAACTGCTATTCCTGCTCCAAATCCACTGAGAACCCTCCTGCAATTCCTTACTATGTATTTTCCACATAGGCCTGCATGCAAATGAAGCAAAATAATCTGCTCTTTGCTGGGACTGTATGGAGCCCTAAACAGCCTGATTGGATTATGAGATGTTAAGACTTCTCTCAGTTAAGTTTACATTTTAAAGACCGAAAGATTCCTAAATTTCGAATCACCTATTTCCATATATTCTGTCCACTCTTTCCATTACTCATGATCCATTCAGACACTTCTGTCTTCAACCTGCCTTTCTCCTGGATTCATTTTCATCTGCAAACTCCTTCATGATTATTAATTTACCTTCCTTTTTATTCTAAAGCCCTCCAGCTTCTTCTCCAGTATCTCTCAATTTACTGTTATTCAGTAATTTGGTTTTCCTTCTCTTTTATACATCTTCTTCAACCATGCAACTGAATGCATGCACCTACATCTTTCACCTACCTGTCAAGTGTGATGGACTCTAAATAAATATTTAATATATAGTTTTAGGACACATAGTTTTAACAAATTTTAAAAATTATCTAAAATATATCACTTGTAACCTTAAAATTATGTCTGTTTTTACAGCTCTGATACAGCAAGGCACGTACTTTAAAAAAAGTTAGTCTGTTAGGAAGGCTGAATGCTGCTGTATCAAATAACAGCTCACATTTCCTGAAAAGCTCTTCCACAGCCTACAAACCTCTGTTTTGCTTAATTTGTCATGAACTATTCCTGAATAAGCACCCCAAAGATCTGAGGACTTACAAGCAGAATTAACTTACACGTTCTTCTACATTAACAGCCTAGCATTTTACCTTTATACCACTGCTTTTAGGCTTTATTTAATTCTCCCCAACCTCCAAATGGTAGAATATTACCAAATTTCTTAGCAATACCGAGTAAAGCATAAAAATTATTTGTTGTGCTACTTTCCAGAGAAGCCAATATAACAGACAATGTTTAGGATTAGGTAATAAGCGTTGTAGTTACTCCATACATTACCCCTTAAAAATTTATATACACCAAATGGAACAGACACTAATCCCAAATATGCCAGTATAAAATCCTTTGCAAGCAATAGCTCGTGTTTTTCTGCTATTTTTCTGCTTTAAGTTTATTCCACATCTGTTGTAGTAGAAAAAAAGTGGAATCTGGCCCAAAGGCTACTTCTAATAAATCCTTTCCTTTATTAGTAGAAACATTGTTATTCACAATGCAACATATGTTCCTCAATTACGTTTTTGAGTAAAAGTATTAATGACATTTTGGCCATATATCTACTTATCCTTTTCAGAGCAAGTTTTCTTTTGACACATTTGCATTATATAAAGTTCAGAAACTCATAATTAAAAAATAAATAATTATTAATTAAAAGTTTGGGATCTCAGTGCCTCTTATTTGCAGTAAAATAGAAGCCAAATGCAGACCCATCAAATGATTTTGAGCTGCACTCAGCTACTGAAAAGCATTTTTATGAATATTCCAACATAATGCATCCTTTTGAATAACCTACTTTCTAATGGTGCACCTTCATCAGGATATGAACCAAGCAGAATTTAAATGTTCAGCCCTTCTTACCTTTGTAATGCCAATGTAAATCCTTAAAGTATGGAGAAGTAAAATGGGATGGGAATTTGAAATGGAACATTTCAGTGTTTCTGAGTGAGAATTAAATTTTGTAATCTGGTCACATTCAACAGTATCTTTGCAAATTCTTTCATGACTGAAGTGAGGCATTGAAAAAGGAGATGCTCCCAATTATTTGTATGTTATACTGATAATTTTTAGTCATTCAACATGGCTTTCAAGAGTAGCAAACAAATACCAAGATATTCTATGAAAATTGCTCATATGGATCCTAATACAAACTTGGATTAGTATTATTCTAGAAGTGAAAACAAATAGACCACACTAAAAACTGGTATAAAATCAAAATTCAGCATTTCCTTAAACCATCTGAAATCTGTATTGTCCTCATTACCTGTTTTTCTATTATGTTCTCTGAATACTCACAGGGAAGAACATTATTCTTTCTGTTTGTGCTTTGTATTAAGCATGTGTGAAAAGTACTGACTTTCAACTCCTCAGAATGAAATCTTCTATTTCTTTTTGAGTCAGGTGGGCACAAATGCTTATGGAATTAACACATGTGAAAAAGCTACATCATGGAAGTTTTGGGTTTGTCTTACAAGTGCCACTATAAAGTTTAAAAGTACCTCATTCTCCCATTTATTTCAAATGTGCTTCTAAATAGCCCTGAAAACCACGGTAAAAGCCAAACACATTCTAAATGCTTTCTAAAAAAAATAAATTGACTTAAACATTAATTAAAGGACCACAAATATGATCACTGCTGATTAAACCAGTGAGACCCACTTAGAACAAGAATTCTCATCTGCTAGGAAGAGGGGATATTTGTTTCATATTGTATACTAAAAGAATACCTTCGGACTTTTAACAGTGTGGGTTGGATTTGAATGTGATCAATAGTGCATTTCATCACCAACAACCTTCATTATTTAGTTTCCTTAAACAATCTCTCTTAATTTTCTGCCACGGGCTTGCTCTTGAATTATCTCCCTCTCTAAAGCAGAATGTCTTTCAATTCCCTTTGAATGCCAGACTTGTCCTACTGCCAGGAGGAGTGAGTGAGGAGGCTCATGGAGACTCTCACAGGCTTCGTGTGAGCAGGAGGTTACAGTCCCGCTCTCTCTCTTTTTTAACCAAAGAGAGCTGGAATGATGGAGGTGTGCTGACCTGCAGGAGCCAAAACATCCTCCAGTGTTTGAACTTACCTTTTTAAAGCTCTCACACGCTGCTGTCCATGTGTCCCAGTTCAATTCTTCCAACAGCCCAGAATATATATTAAAGTGGAGACAGCAGCCTCTGCAAATGAAGATACCATCAGGTAACATTTCTTTTGTTTACTTAGCATCTATGCTGGAGTAGGAGGAAAAGAGCAGAATTCAGCATTTTTTTATCACACATGGACCTGACTTCATTCTCCTGATATCACTTATATCCATGGCTTTTTTCCTTCAGTAATTGTAGAAAATGTGTTCAAAGCCACAAACATAAATGATGCTAATGGGAAGTTTGTGTTTGGGAGGCCATACTGTGAATTGCTGAAGATGAGAAGAACTGCACCAATAAAAATCTCCAGGTATGTTAAAGAAGACATTAAATACTGAATTAATACATTCCAAGCTTAAATATATGAATTTTGAGATCTCTGAATGTTAAGTCAGATGCCTTGGGCTGTCAGTAGAAAGTTAAACTTGCAGATTAAACCTGCCTTAGTCCTAAAAGTGACATCTTAAGCATTTTGAATTTTGAGAAATTAAAAGAAAAGCAAGCTAAGTTGTTTGGTTTGTTTTTTTTTCTGCTCAGCCTAAGAATCTCCAAGAAAATGAAAATACAAGACTTTAAATCTTTTCTTGTTAAAGTATTATAGCACACCAGCCAATATTTCCTTGAAATAATACTCAGCACAGCAAAGTACATGTCTTTCAGTACTACAAGTACAAAAAAAGACATATCTCCAGGCAATCATGGAAAATGCTTTCCCAATTTAAAAATGAAAATGGTCTTGTTAGCATTTTTGCTAAGTGAAATATCTGAAGAGAGTTATAAAACAACCATAGGAATTAGAAAATATTATTCTTCAGCTCACAAGTCATGCTTTTGATTTTAAAATCAAAATCACAGGCAAAATGATAATTAAAAGAAAAAAATATACATCTATATTTTTGGGAAGTTGGACCTCATCCAAGACAGCACAGTGAGGTTTCCTGTATTTCCAAGCTTTTTATTCCTTATGGGTAAGGCCTAATTGTTAGATCCATTTTTAGAATCAGAAATAAACTCGTATAATTCCTTTAGAAGTCAATCAGTGCTGCCCTGAAGTCAAATAAAGGTAATGCTCAGAGGTAACTCAAGGTTGATGCTTCTAATGGTTCAAACAGCAGCTCTTTCATTATTCCTGATTATGTATATATGGAACAAAATACAAAAATAAATAAAAATCTGCTTTATTCACATTTCTTATTAGCTGTTCCTATCCCCTTACAGGACTTACTCTAAAATTCTAACTCAGCCATTGACTTCAGAGAGAGTTGGATCAAGACCCAAAAGAATAAAAGCACTTGTACTTTTTTTTTACCCATGTAAGAATCTGAAATTAGAATTCCTGTAAGATATTTCTGCTTAGTGCATTTGAAACAATCAAATTTTGCAGCTGAAATCTCAGAAATGCAACTGCATTATCAACTAGAGTCACTGTAATAATGACAAAGAACGAAAATGATATAGTTTCAATACAACTCACAAAACTCATTAGAGCAACTTATTTTCATGGCAAAGCCAGCAAACACAGCAGCAAACGAATGAAGCTCATCCTGGCCCGTGAGCTGATGTTGATATGTAAATTCAGATAACACAAATGAGCACACCTGTCAGAGTTTCTCTCACAGACTGGATAAAACAGAAATCTTAAAAGCAGCCTCATTCCCTGAAGCAATGCTGCCATCTTGCGAGGGAAAAGATGAAGCCAGCGCTTTCATTTAATAGAGATATGCCAAGTGCTGGGGAGATCTAGGAGACACGGGGGTAAGGAATCACCAGGGATGTGAACTGGACATTTGCTCCCCCTCCACGGACACAGGTCTTTGAAAACAGAGTGGAAATGATAAGCAATACTGTCCAGGAACGTGCTGCCTTGAGTAGCAAGCAGAACACTCAACGTCGCAGTGGTTAATTCCAAACTAAGTGAACTGGCATTTCAGGTGAAAAGGCAAGCAAAGGAACCACAGGCAGGCCGTGCTTGCAGTTGGTGAATCCCACTCCCTTTCTTTTAACTTCCACTGTGCAGCTGGTATTTTGTATTGCTGGATTGGAAAACCCAAGCAATTTAAAAAAAAAAAAAAAAACCAAAACATTTTGCATGGCCAGAGCCATCCATCCATCCATCTATCTTTGATATTATGGATCAAGGGACAGAATGCAGGTTGCTGACAAAAAAAACCCAGGCCATTGTTATTCTTGCTATAATTCAAATATTTTATATTTTTCTAATTCTCTACATTCTAACTCTCTGCATCCTCATTCTAATGCACACACACCAGATTTCAAGACAAGAATTACAACCACTTATAGCTGGATTGAATTTAATAGCATGGGCTGCTATTAAAGGCAGACTGAAATTTTCCAACAATGCTTTTACAGCTGAAAATGTCACTTCAAGTGCTGCACATCCTCAGCAGGAATCTGTTTTGAAAAACAAGTAAAGTAGCTTTAATATGATCAAAATACACCCACTTCACCTTTGTGAATGGAATATTTCAGTCTTCTATTTCCATTTTTATAATGTGTAATGCAGAAAACAAAATTTTATCATGTTTCACTTTGTGAAAGTAACAAGAAAATTTATAGTATTCTAGAGACCATGTGCCATAGAGTCTGCATACACATTCAGCTTTCACCTGGGAATACTGAAAAAGTTCCTAACATCAATCTATTGGCACACCTAAAGATTTCCTGTGGTTAGGAAAAAAAAAAAAATCACCTGCTCTTCCTGGCTGCAAAATTCATGTCTTCCTGCAAAGCCCTCACAGCAGAAACAGCTTCAGGCTATTTGGGTTTAGAGTTGTAGCTACAGACAGTGACCTCTCTGCTCTCCCAACATGCAAATTTGTTATATTATCAGGAGTTCTTAGAAGTAATTCCTTGCTGGTGTTTCTAAAAGGAATCTGTTACTTTGCAGTTGAAGCAACTGCTGAGTAGACTGAGGATTACTGGTGTCCATCATGGCTGCATAGTGTTAGATTTTATCCTTGCTCAGTCTATTACTGCTCTGAGTCTTCACTTATTCCTTGGAAAAATAGTGTACACCACCATTGTGCTCTCTGTATGAGAGAGACACAGCTGTTTACACAAATGTAACATGTTTTGGTATCTCTCAAGGAAAGGACTACAGCCTCAGCTATCAGACATTTCAGCACTTACTAGTTGAAAACTATGTGTATTTATTAGATTGCATCACCACCCCAGCATGCACGGTGTGAGCCAAGAACATCTTTTCCTACTCCTCTGCTCCTGCAGAAGGACAAGTAGAGGAGGGGAGAATTCTACCCCCTAGGCTTCCCAAAAGAAGAGTCTTTCACTGGGAAACTGTAAACCAGAAAATCTGACCCTATATAACTAGAAAATGCTTCTGTTGCTTGAATTACCAGCAAGATCTGCTCTTAGTAATTACTTGGAGGTACAATGAATCAAGACATATTCTGCCTGCTTCTCTGTAAAACACATTGCCTTCTATTCACTACAACAGTGCCCCCAAATTTTTAATTCAATATACTTAAGGGTCTGGAGTCTCTAAACTAAGTACTTGGTTATTTATTTAATCTGAAACCACTGCCTAAAACAAACTGTTTACTCCTCCATCTGCAAAGGGTCTGGAGTCTCTAAACTAAGTACTTGGTTATTTATTTAATCTGAAACCACTGCCTAAAACAAACTGTTTAAGGAGAGATGAGATGATGTTGTACGTCTCCTCCATCTGCAAAGCTGTCATGGATTTGGGGGTAACAGCCTCTGAATCCTTTGATGCTTCACATCACCAGGTTAACTCCTGTAAATATGCTTCAAAATGCTTCAAAAATCTGAAAATGTTTATGGCCTAAGAAAAGAACAGGTAAGGGAGGGAGAAGGAATGATGTGACCCACATTCACAAACAAAACCTGCTCATTATATTTCCTGGTACTGGTTACCCAGTTGACAAATTAAGATTTTTCTTCTTTGCTGGAGAACTCTTAAAAAAATTGACTCAGGAGATGTATGTATTTCACTTGGAAAGCAATCTTACATTACTAGCATTGAAATGACCCTGTAAAGTTATGGGGCTTTGATTTTAATGTGTTTTACCTCTATATCTCCCCTCAGAATGTTAGTCTGCCCTCACATATTTTGCCTCTCCTACACACCTGAGCTTACTTTGCTGTCTTGAACCTATTAAAAAAATCAGATGCACTAGAACTGTTTAATACAGAGGACACATTTGCAAGGGTGAGATTTTTTATGAGGTGTAAGATTTCTGTTCCACTACACAAATTCATAGAGCTGAGCAGATCAATTAGCCTTCTGCTGCGAATTCCTTCTTTAGAAGTGGTCAGGGTCTGCAGAAGCCCTTCAAAGGAAGAGATAGCTGCAGTAAGAACTTCATAATAGAGCCTATTAAATGAGGAGGAGCTTAAAAATAAATTCAAAGCTAATGATTTAACACATAGGATTTGTCTTTTCTGATTTTTTAGCAGATTTTCCGCTGATACAGAAGGACACACTAAAAAAAAAATAAATAAATATATCTCTTATGGTATAGTCCAAACCAGCAATGTCAGCTTCACTACCTTTAGATCAGTTTTATGACAGCCCAAGTTGTGGCTCCTGGTACATATACACTGTTCTTCCTTCAAAATATGAAAAGCCTTAAAGCTCATCTAATTGACCAACTAAGAACATCTCCAAAGCCAGAAAAATGCCCAGTGGAGGACTCAGTGACGACAGTCTGGGGGTCACTGTACCCCCACCCTGCCCCTGCAGCCCTGGGTTCCCTGCCAGCCCCACACAGCAGCCTCCTAGAAGGGCCAGGGACAGCTCTGACAACAGGGACAGCCCAAACTCTGCTCCAAACAATCCCAGAAGTTTGGGAACGAGAACTAAGAGGTCAGAATCCCTGAGCTCCTCTGAGCTGATCTGAGCTTTCTGCAAGAATTCTCATGTCAGAACCATCTTTTCTTGGCAAGCAGTGAACAATCACAACTCTGTTTGAAGTGCAAAGGGGTTGAAAAAAAAAGGTATTTCCAGTGTTACAAAATTCTATATTTTTTTTCTTCAAAGCCCTTTTCTCCTTCTTCTTTTGAAGGAGTGTCAGTCATGGCAATATGTTCATGGGGGAGATCTACAAAAGTATCCACAGGCTGAGTTCAGCCAAGTGTCCAATGAACCTGCAGCGAGACAGCTATCACCAGTACCTGCACCCACGATGGATATTCAGATTTTAACTGGATGGGTTTTATTCTAACTGGACTTCTTTACTCAAAACCTCTATCAGCAAATAAAAAGATCACTTTCTGAAACCAGAGGAATTCTTACCACAAAACTGTTTAGCAAGATAATGTTTCTAGCCATTTTTTAGTAACGTAATTCAGCAATTTAAAATATCCATATAACTTGAGATACAGCTCCCTGCTCAGCCAAACCCATGACTAAATATGACACATCTTGTTCCAACAGATTCCCAGAGTACATAATGAGAATACTGTAGCAGCAACTTTCTATACATCTATTATCTGATGTAGAAAAAACCCAGTTTACCCAAGGTAGCAAGTTTGTAAGTAATGATCATTACAGAAGCTTGTATTTGGGTCATGGTGACTGTGCTATCCCAGGTATTTCATATTCCTTCTACATATTGCACACAAATCAGCAATAGCTCAATTAACAGGTCACTTGCCTCAATCCTATGAATGGAACAGGCACACAAAATCTGATAGAGATCACAAAACCAGAGCAATGAAGCTGCACTCCTCATTGATCCTTTCTCTGGATCCCTCTGATAGGAATACAACGTCTTCCCATCTATTCCCAACCCGTGAGAAAACACGTGGCTTTCCTTTCATCGGCAACACTGAATCTGACATCTACATAAACTGGGATCTGAAATGACTGCATTTTACACATTGAACAAAGTGCATTTAATCTCTTATCCTTCCCAGAATATTTATTTGCACTTTCAAACCCAGTAGGTCAGTCTAGAAAACACAAATACCTTATTATCTGAATAACGAGGTCTTCAGACAGTGAAAAGTAAAGCAGCTGGAGTATTTCACCAAGACCTAGAAAAGAGAGGGCAAAGGTAAGAGAAGAGCAGCTTTCCACTGTTCTGTTGGGAGCTATGCCTTAAAATATTTAAGAAGGTTACATCTGAAAGTTTAAAAAAGAATATATGGGTTCTTGCTAGATGAAGGAAAAGGATCGTTTTCCCTGCATATAAATGAAATACTGAATTTCAAAGTAATATAGAGCTCTGTAGAAAATATGCAAGCACAACTAAATAAGAGCCTTATTCAAATAGCTGCATTGTTTAAATCAAAATCAAGCAGGAATTCTTTTGATGAAAAATAAAATAATTTGCCATAAAAATAAGATATTAACAAGACAAGTAAAATACTTTCATAATATTTTTATTATTTTTGGACTAGTGTTGATTTTATTTTTTTAATAGCAAGAACACACAACATTTCTTTGTCATACTTTAAACTCCTTTAAATTTGCTAGACCAAAATCCAACAAAGTTTCATTCATTTCAACTTTCTGCTCTCTTATTCCCCTTTCCCAAAACCAAAGTCAAAACACTACTAACTACACAGAAACACAGACTTGCTAGGCAGTCCTTGAAAATAAATACATTTTAAGAACGGTCTAAATATAACCTGCTCTAAGTTATTGAAGGGCTTCAATGATACCCATGATGCCCACATCATGGTACCAAGGACACTTCCTAAAATGTCATAAAAGAACAGCATAAAGGTTCTTCTATGACGCTGAAAAAATCCTTCCCTCTTTAACTGACCTTTCTTTCCAGTTACAGAACATTAACATTGAAACACGGTCACTAAACTTCAGCTATTCAGCTAAGAACCTAATTAAACTATTCCCATTTTAGAAATTACAAAAAGCTATAATCTTACAACACATCTTAACTGGCTGATGTTGTAGAATGGAGGAGAGAGGCCCCTGGGCATCATTGTACAGAAGGCTCAGGGAGAATACAGACCTCAGTAAGGTAAATCAGGTATTCTTTATCTCTGCCAGAGGTGTAATAATTTCAATATAAGAGCACACTTCTTTAGAACCCACTCTCTGCATTCTACTATACTGAAATAAATCAGCCTTAACAACTACCACTGAATCCATGCAAATACATTCCTTTTAGTTTGCTCAGCAATGGAACAACAAAGATGTTTCAGTCTTATTAAATTCCTGGTGGGTTTTCTTTTTTTCCCACCCTGTTTTCTGGCACTGGATTCATGTCTGATGTTCTGGAAAATTCAGCATCTGAATCACCTTTCACTGTATAGAAACAGGATTAATTAAGCAGTATCTGAGCACAGTTTACATCTCATTAAATATCTGTGACTTGGTGAAATCGCGATTTTCCCTTTCCTGTGAAAATACTACACCTGCAGGAAGATGTTTAGTGGACTCAAATGTTTACATACGCTTAGAAAATATGTGACAATGTCACCAGTACCTTCTAGTGAGGAAAGCACTCGTTATCACTTGTTTTAGTTCTGCAAGGCAATCTGAGGTCTAGTCACTGAGTCAGTCTGCAGACACTTAAAGAAGAGGTGGCTAAGGCTGAAGAGCTGAGAAAAGTCTCTGTTTGCATTGCACACTCTCATGTGGAGGAATTTCTCTTCCCCATCTCACTGTCACGCCGCAACGAGAAACCCGAAATCTCTTCACCACAGGTTTCTCTGTTCCAAGAACCCTGAGAAAACTGTAAAATACCTCTCCAGCACAGGGGAAGAGAGGTGGGAGGTGGGGAAACAGTTCCAACTTCTATGTTTGTCTGTTAAAGTTTTGTTTACTGAGCATTACTGGCAAAAACAACTTCTGGATTTAAAAAGCTCTTGTCTATGATCAAAACCACTGAAAACCGAAGCAACGTGCAAACTTGTGTGACGAGCTCCCTTATCCCATAGGCTTCCTCCGCTGAATGCAAGGCCTGAGCTTTAGGTTTTCATCCCCAGTCCTGCTGGCCGGGGTGACAAAAGAGACACTGTGCTGCCGTACAGCTGTTTATTCCAGCAGCACTGGCGACTCGTAAACAAGGAACAGAGACGTCCTTATGCCATTTCCTGCTCTCCTCAAACCTCGCTCCAATTCCACCACCAAAACAGCTCCCAGCAGAGTCCCGGACCTCCTGTTTGCAAGGTGTCTCACACCTACAGCTGCCTCTGGGATTCGCTACGTTACCTTCAGTTTTCTCAGCAACAAGGCTTTTGTGATAAAGAAAGGACGCAGAGATGGTTTTGTGCACTCCATATTAAAGTTTTAGCGTTTTTATAATAGTACTTTTTATCAAAAAGTTTCTTAATTATCAATGTCTACTGCAGCATCAGGAAGTAGCTTTACTGCTTTTGCCTTCTGTCCTATAAAGGCACATGGGGAAATGTTTTGGTTCTTCCCAGAATGTCGCTGGACACAGAAATAAAACAAAAAAACCCAGCTGGACAGTATCATGCCTATTATTTAAAGATGTTTATTCCTTTTATGATCAGCAGCATGGCTATCCATGCATCCCCCCATGCACACGGAGTCTCTTTCATTTTGTAGAGATTAGATTTAATTTTCTCTACTTTTCCCTTTGTCTCCCATTATTTTCCAGACCTTTTAGATTTGCCTTTCACTTTGTTATGTCCTTTTCTGGGCAGTTCTTTAACATCATGCTAACCTTCAAATTTACATAAATTAAGCAATAAATTAACCTTCTTTCAGGTTTAATTTGAAGAGCTGAGGAAAAGAGAGAAGTCTTGAAATTAATGTGAAAAAAATCCAGTATATATAGTAACATGCAAAATTTTAAATGTCATGAATTGCATCGTGCATGGTAAAGCCTAATGTTCCCATGCACTCATGTCATGCTGTTCCCACACTTGAAATTTCCATATTCTTTTCACGTGCTTTCTGATGACATAACCATCCCTAAGCACAAGGAAACATTGCTAATACACTGTTAGAGCACACTATTAAAATAAAAATAGTCTCTCTGCAGACCCAAAGAGATGTTAAGCTGCTCACATCAACCCTCTTGGCACAGTGATAGAGGATGGTGCTCTCAGGAAAATGTCATTTAAAAAAACCCAGCATCTTAAGGTTAAGACATGCTAAAAATCCAAAGAAGAAAGGACACAGAGCTGCAGTTAACAATTCACAAAAGGATTCTAACATCTAACTACTTCTAATGTACAGACACATCCAGGTTACAGCAGAAGAGATTGCCTGAGCTACTCTCAGGTTTGAAAACCAGAAATTTCCTTCTCTGCATTCAAAATACCTGCACTCATCAATACTCTATCTCAAGATTGGCATATCTGATACAAAACTCTAAGTTCTGCTATTTCAGCTGTGACAGACTATGTTTGCTAAGTAGAAATAGGTAATGCTAATAAGTAAAGGTACTTCTCTCTTAAAAATGTAAGAAAATGCAAAATAGCTAATGAAATGTAAGTGGATAGTTCAAAATCATAAATCCCAGCTACTTCCAAGATTCAAGGCTGCAGCAACACTCAGATACCCTGAACATCTCATGTATTTAAACATTAGGTTACAGAATTCTGAAACGTACTGAAGCAAATAGTCATGAGAACAGGACCAAACATAACTACGTATTCAAAATCAAACTTCTCATACCTCCAGACTTTTTATAGAGATGAAGTGAGTACTGAGAAGAAAGCGCCTTGCTTTTTCACTTCGTATCTGGCTCTTTAGTCCTGCCTGTCAATGTCCCCCAGGTATTACGGTTTTAACATGATTTCTTCATACTGCATATTAGTACCAAACTAACTCTGTAGTTGAAACAACATCTTACCTAATTACTGTTTTACAACACAACATTGCCCAGAAAAAAGTCATTAAGCAATCCAAGTGCACTGAGTGGCATCATTCTCAGTCACATGATGGATTTTAAATAGCCAGCGCAGCACTAGTAGCCAGTAATTACTCTGAAATTTCCATAAATAATCACTTCCATTGGAGCTTTTAAAAAAATTGCATGTCCACTTTAATTGTTACTACGTTCAGTTTTAACCCTTCCTCAGCTAAAAAGAAAAAAAACACGGCTAGTTACTTCATCCTAAGGTAAAGCTATGGTTTAAGTAGCCGAAGGGCCAGAATCAAACTAGCAGTGAGGCTCTGAGAATTGTCTCTTATACCACAGATTTATTTCCAAAAATTAAATCACAAAAACATCTTCGAAACACCTTTTCATGAACGTAATTTTTATTAATTTTACACAGGAATTCTTGGTTTCATTACCTGTTTACTAAAAGTTGCCCTTTCAATTTTCAGAAGAGGCGCTATAAAATTGCTATTTCTGCTGAGGAACATACAAAAGGATCCCCCTAAAGATCCTGTTAAATCTAGTTTGGTTGTACAGAAATATGGCAATCAAAGAGGATAATAGTTCTTGTGACTTATGACTGCAGGCAATAACTCCCATCCCCAAGGCTGCCAAGAAAAAGACTGGTATTATGAGGCAGTTAAAGCTTCATTAACCTCTTCATGCCTGAAACACATATATCACATTAGTGCCATCCTGAATAAATTCAAAGACATGAAAATAAATTACATGGGAATACAAAAAGCAGATTAACAAAAGACAGGGCACTATAATTTCAGCCTGTGTCTGAAGGGGTAGCCATAAGGGAGAACAGACTAAAGAATGGTCACTGTATTAGCAAAAAAGATTGCATTTAGAAAAGTAATAGTCAGACTTTTATTTTTCATTGAATTCAGAGGTCAGAATAGATTAAAAAAAAATCTAAAAGATAAATATGACTGTCTTGATGATCTTCATTTATAACTTCTTGGTCAGTATTGACAATAACCCCCTGATGATCTGGGCCTTTCACTTTCCCCATTTCAGAAACCCTCCTAGAGTTCAAAAAAGAAATCTACCATATAACCCAGATCTGGGATGCAGAGCAGGATGGGGGCTTTAATGTATATGCAAGTTTTCTTGTATGTGGAAGCAAACCTAGAATATCAAAAAAAAGTTTCTGGATATTTTTTGGCTGACTCTACAGCATTCCCATCAGCAAGTCTGGAA